ACGGCACGGCAGGGGTCGACCTAAACGGTGTTTTGGCGATTTCGTGGGCAGTTGTCGCTTCGATTTCGTTTTGCAGCAAAGGCGGGTTGAAGACAAAACGAGGGTAACGAAAACAAATCGAAAACGAAATACACTGTTTAGGTCGATCCCTGCGGTACGGCTCTCTGAACAGCTTGCTCACAGGGGTTGAATGTCGTTATTCGAACACCTTGTAGGGGATGCCAGGCCCCCCGAAGTCGGCTGCCCATCGTGGCCCTTGGGGCCCCTCCTGGTGGCACCCCCTCGTGGCTCCCAGGCGGCCCCCCATCGTGACCTGTGAAAGCCTCTTTCAGGTCTGCTGCCGCACGGGCGGTATTTTGAGAAAGCATGTTCTTGTTCTTCGAGGACGGCCTCCGGGAGGGCCGCTGTCTGGCCCTGGGACATCGAAGGTTGGTCCGGGATGCAAAAACTACCCCGAGGGAAGCGCTCGGGAGCTCTGGGGCCGCGGATTGAGAGAAGAATTCTGCTCGCCGGAAGTCTGAGGACGGTGCTGCAGCGCGCAGGGGTGCGGCTCGCGCTGGTGCGTGCGCGCGGGGGCGTGCCCAGGACGGCAGGATCTCCTTCGATCTGATCGACCCGATCTCCTCCCCGTCCTCCTCCTCCTCCTCCTCCTCCTCCTCCTCCTCCTCCTCCTCCTCCTCCTCCTCCTCCTCCTCCTCCTCCTCCTCCTCCTCCTCCTCCTCCTCCTCCTCCTCCTCCTCCTCCTCCCGATCCGATTCCCGTCCGATAGCTTCGGTAAGCCAACGTGGCCCGGTCCCGGCACGGCGCTGCTGGGCATCCTGGCGCGGTCGGTCCGCTCCGGCTTCGGCTTCGTGGTGCGGTTCGCGGTGGTGGGTGGGTACGCGTGGGGTGCGCGCCCTGAATCTGGGCGCAAGCGAGAGGGAAGGAGGATGTGGGCGCAGAATCCTGGATCGGCGGTGCAGGACTTGATGCTGTCAGACATGCAGGTGCCTCCCTGGCAGTGGTCGACGAAAAAGTGCATAAACAGATCTTTGCTCATGTGTCCGCGCGGATCTCTCGGCTCGGCGCTGGGGCTCCCCTGGCAGCGCCTCTTGGCGCCGCCATTAGCGCGCTCCGCGCGCCAGCGAAGGGGCCCCAGCGCCGACCCAAGAAATCCGCGCGGACCTCCGAAAGTTTGTGGTTATGCAGTTGTTCGTTCCTCTTCTCCGGCTCGACGGCGCAGAATATGTTGTTCTTAATCACGCAGGTGCCATGCTGGCATTGGGCGATCTTGCCGCCAGCCTTGTTTTTTCTCGATACCCAGACATCCAGCGTCTCGAACAAAAACAGGACGTCGGCTTTTTGCTGCTTTCGGGCTCTGGGCCCCGGTTTCGAGTTTTGTGGCCGTCCAGAGCCGACTCGGGATGAAGCAGATGCCTCGGAGAAAGGGTCGGGAGTGCCAGGGCCCCGCATTCAACAACCAGGACACTGCACGTCTGGCTATGGCGCCCTGATCCGTCCTCTTCCCCCTCCTGCATGCTGGCCAATTCGCTTCTCGGTGCCCCCGTCTAGCTTAAGTCGGGCACGTCCCTCTACAGGAGGAATATTCAGACTTAGAAACATAAAAATAATAGAAACAAGCATATATATATATATATATATATGATAGATGTACATATATAAGTCTTGGGACGCTTTTTCGATTATTGTTCCATTATTTGTTTTTGGGTATGTTTGATTATGTTTGATTTTCCGCCCAAAATCCGCCTGTAGGAGGACATGCCCGACCTAAGTCTAGCTCAATCGCTGGTGCAGCCATTCTGCCTCGCCGCCGACGGAAAAAGTCTGGGCATGGCGTCGCCATCGGCATCGACCCCGGGCTGCTCGCCTCTGGGGCTGGCGGCAGAGGGCGCCGTGGAGCAGAGCATCGCCACTAGAAGCTGGAGGCTGCTCCTGATCCTCGTCCAGAGGAGGAGAGGGAGGAGGAGGAGGAGGACGAGGAGGAGGACAAGGCCCTCGACCGACTGATCGATCGACCGATCTCCGCCTCAGCATCCTCATCATCAGCAGCATCATCATCAGCATCACCGTCATCACCGTCATCATCATCAGCAGCAGCATCATCATCAGCATCATCAGCATCAGCATCGTCATCGTCATCGTCGTCGTCGACATCATCATCATCATCATCATCATCATCATCATCATCATAATCAGCATCATCATCATCATCATCATCATCATCATCATCATCATCATCAGCATCAGCATCAGCATCAGCATCAGCAGCATCAGCATCAGCATCAGCATCATCAGCTTCATCACCTCCACCTCCACCACCACCACCACCACCGCCATCGTCGTCGCCATCGTCGTCATCATCCTCGGGCGGCCGCCGTCGGCCGCCCGAGGTCGATCTTCAGCCGCGACCTGGGGTCCTCCTCGCAGCGCCAGTCGGCCATCTACGAGGACGCGCCCACCTCCGAAGGAGCGGCCGCGGCGCAGCGGGCGCGGCGGCGAGGGGAGGGTTAGGCTCACGAGCCGGGGGGGCTCCGGCAGAGGCAGGGGGAGGTTTTCTGACCACGAGGTGGGGGCGCAGAGAGCGAAGCCGGCCGCTGCTCTGAGACGCGCGTGTTGAGGCGCAACGCGTGCCGTGCTCAAGACGTCCGTGCTCAAAACGCACGCACTCAGTCTACGCGTTGAGCTCCGCATCCGTGCGCTACGAGGCTGCGTGCTGCGCATCGGGGCAGCTGCGTCTGGGGGTCCTCGGAGCAGCCGGCGGGGGCCTCGACTGGTGCGGCCCCGCCTCGCTCCCTTCTCCCGCCTCTCCTCCTCGCTCCCCTCCCTGCTGCTGCGTCTCCCTGGCCTCCCGGGGCCCCCCTGCGACCACGCGGCCCGCCGCGTGCCCCAGCCTGCCGCTGCAGGGCACCCCGGTTTGAAGTCGGGCCTGCCCTTCCACAAGAGGAAGATTCAAGAACAGTCGAAAAAAATAAGCTGGGGATGATTGTTTTACTGCTTTCGAGTATGTTTTGGCTGTCTTTGAACTTTCGTCCAAGATCCGCCTGCAGGAGGACATCCCCGACCTAACCCTAGTTTGATCACCTCCCTAGGTCCGACCGGCCTTGGGAGGGAGAGGGCAGCATACGATGAATTCTCATACCATCAGAATTCAGTGTTCAATTGACTGCTCACACGAGGCGTTCCCGAACGGGCCTCGCTTTCGAGGATCAAACGAGCTGCCGTCTCTCCCCCTGGGGGGCGGGAGCAACACGCGGGCGGCTCCGCTGGCGAAGTGCTGGCGGAGCGCGGCGGAAGCAGAAGCTGGGCCCCCAAGAAACGGCAGCAGCCCTGGGCTCAGGGATCCTGGAGCCGGCCACACGCCCTCCTCCCAGGGGCCCTCTCGTCTGGAGCGATTGTCCTTCTTGGACCCCCATCTCTGCCCCGTGCCCCACCTCTGCGTCCCCCTGGGCGAGGCTGGCCGCGGGGGAGACGAGCACACGGCAGGCTCGCGCCGCGGCGGCGCGGCGGCGACCCCGGCGCGGGCGTGGAAGCTGGAATGCCGCTGGCGGCCAGGAGTCCGCCGACATCGAACGGTCCGCGCGGTGCCAGAAGGCAACGCAACAGTCGTCACGACACGAACTTGCCGTACCGATGTATGTGCGTATGTATGAATACACAAGTACATGTGTATACATAAACACACACTCACACACCTATATATATATATATATAATCAGAAATATATATATATATATATATATATATAATATATATATATATATATGTAAGATAGATATGCATGTACAGATTTACTATATACATATATATATATATATATATATATGTGTATGAAACACCATGGTCCCCATCAACGGCGTCTAATGAGCTGCCCTGCGCGTTTGCTAAGCAACCCCTTGTGCCGCTCGATTCCTTCACCGCGCGCGTTTCCTAAAGGGCACCAGCTGTAGGGGGCTAACCACGGTCAGGAGCGTATGCTCAGCTGGCTCTGGCCCACCACGCTTCGGCGCGACACGCTGGGCACGTCCCAGTCCCGAAGCCTCAACTCTCCGAGATTTGCCAAACCTCCCGCCCGTAGGAGGAAGGCCCAGAACGCCAGCGTCGTGACTGTTTCACAACGTGCGCCTCCTGAGGTCTGGACCCCTTCCCCAGGAGTTTCGCCAGGCATACTGGACTGTCGGGCCTTCGCTTTGGAGAGAGAGCGCCCCGCGTCCACTCCTCCCGCTGCCCCCCGTCCCTCCTCCAATCCCAGCCTCTGCCCTCCGCACATCAGCCATCTCGGCACACCCCTCACACGCTTCGTGACCCCATAGGGAGTCCGCTGGAGGCCCCAGCGGGAGCGTTCGCATGCGGCCCCACACCCAGTTCGGCACACCCCTCACACGCTTCGTGACCCCACAGGAGGCCGGAGGCCCCGGTGGGAGTGTTTGCATGTTGCCCCGCACCCATTTCGGCACATCCCTCGCACGCTTCGTGACCCCATAGGGAGCACCACCGAAAGCCCCAGTGGGAGCGTTCGCATGCCACCCCTCACCAGTTCGGCACACCCCTCACACGTCTCGTGGCCCCATATGGAGCACCACCGAAAGCCACAGTGGAAGCGTTGGCATGCCGCCCAGCACCCATGTTGTTACACCCCTCACAAGTTCCGTGGCCTCATAGGGAGCTCCATCGAATACGAGAATCACAACTGCATTATTCTCAACCTCATATGGTTCGGTCATTTGCCAGAATAGTTCACTCATCCCGTTGTTTGGCGTCCCGGTCGGGCCCTCCTCCTCCTCCTCCTCCTCCTCTTCCTCCTCCTCCTCCTCCTCCTCCTCCTCCTGCTCCTGCTCCTGCTCCTGCTCCTGCTCCTCCTCCTGCTGCTCCTCCTCCTGCTGCTCCTCCCGCATCTCCCCCTGCCGATTTTCGCATCAGCCCGGCAGGAGCATCCCAGCGCTCTCCGGGCGGGGGCCACGAGGAGGGCGAGCCGGTGGTCGTGTCGGTGAGTTTGCCCGTTGGTCTCGACGAGTTCTCTCAGGCCTTCGCTGCTTCATGCCGCGGATTGCAAGCCTAGAAATACAGACATCGGTCGAAGAAGAAAAACGCCATAAACATAAACTTTTAGCGCTCCGCGCGGATTTCTCGGATCCGCGCTGGGCCCCCCCTGGCGGCGCCGCCCTTGGCGCGCTCCGCGCGTTGGGGGGTCCAGCGCAGATCCAAGAAACCCGCGCGGAGCGTTAACGTTTATGTTTATGCCGTTCTTCCTTCTTCTTCTTCTTCTCAAATACAAACATCGGTGGATGTCAGGTAATCTTTTCTTGTTCATCGTTTTGCCGATCGGCGTGGGCCCTTGCACCCCCCCTTCCCCCCGCCCCCCCCCATGGAGCAGATCTTTGCTGTTCTTGGCACCTGTTTCGAGCAGGTGGGGCCTCCCCGCATAGGACGCACTGCTGCAAACAGTCGCATTCAGCAGAGGTCCGGAGCCAGACCCCCTCCCCTAGGAGGACGAGGAGCAGCTAGGAGGAGGAGGAGGAGGACGGTAGGAGGAGGAGGAGGACGGTAGGAGGAGGAGGAGGAGGAGGAGGAGGAGGAGGAGGAGGAGGAGGAGGAGGAGGAGGAGGAGGAGGCCCAACGTCGAAACGCCGACGAAGAAGACGCTCACCATCGGTGGATGTCAGGCAGCGGGTCTCCAGCCTCGCGAGGTGCTCTCCAGCAGCTGCGCCTCGCCGAGGGGCGTCCGGGTGGGTGCCGGGACGGTGCCGACACGGCCGGCGGGGGCCCGAGCCGTGGCGCGAAGACGAGACGACGAGGACCGCCCGGGTTGGACGAAAGAGTGGAATCAAGGGCAAGGTTAGGGGGGATAGGTTTAAGTCTGGCCTGCCCCACTGCAGGAGGAATATTCAAAAATTGAGCTTTCTATATATATATATATATATATATATATCTAATAATAAAAAATACTAATAATAATCATAATGATAATAACAACAACCATAATAATAAAATAAAATACATAAAACATTTAAAAAAAAAAAAAAAAAAAAAAAAAAAAAAAAAAAAAAAAAAAAAAAAAAAAAAAAGAGGGGGGGGGGGGGCCGGCCCCGGGTCCCACACCTTCCCGCGACATCTCGGGAACGCTCCCGGTACCTTCCCCCGGCCTTTCCGGGGAGCCTCCACAGCGCTCCAGGAGGGCCCAAGACACCTCCCAGGAGCTCCCAGAATGCGAAAGGATGGCCCAAGACGCTCCCAAGCAGCCCAAGTCAGCCTTCCGACGGCTCTTGAGGCTCCCAGGTGGCCTCCAAGAGACCCCAAGAGAGGTCCGAGAGGCGTCCCGGGACGGCCCGAGGAGGCCAAAATCGTCGATTTCCATTGGTTGTTTCTATGTTTTTGGCTTCTCGCGTTTTCTAGCTTCCAACGGTACAAGAGCGCCGAAGAGGCTCCAAAGACCGCCCCAAGACCAACCAAGAGACCCTCAGGACAGCCCCAATACGGACCAAGAAGGCTCCAAGACTACCGAACAGGCGCCCAGGACAGCCCCCGAACACCCTAGAACAGGCCCAAGATGGGCCCAAGAGCGGGAGCAGGAGGCTTCCAGAGACCTCCGAGAGGCCTCCGGGACCACCCAGAGGCCCCCAACACACCCCCGATCCTTGAGAGGCTCCAAAAAGACCCCGACGAAGCTCCCAGAACAGCCCAAGAGAGCCGCGAGAGCCGTCCCGAGAGAGCCCAAAGAGGGTATATAAAATTGTTGATTTCCAATGGTTTTCTAATGTTTTTCGCCTTCTCGCGTTTTCCCACTTCCAACCCTCGAAGATCGAGGATTTTGAGAGAGAAAAGAAAGAGAATTCCAAGAATTCCCTTTTTTCAAAATGGGACTCCTACTCGGAAGATCCCACACATCCCCTGACATCTGGCCGGTACTGCGCCTCCCGGCTTTCCCGGGGGCCCCCAAGACGCCCAAGGACAGCCCAAGACGACCCTAAGGAGCCCCCAGAACGTAAAGAACGGCCTAACACGCTCCCGCGCAGCCCGAGACACCCTTCCGGCGGCTCTCCAGGCCTCCAGGAGGCCTCCAGAACCCCCAGGGGGTCCGGAAGATCCCACACCCCTGAGGGGCCCGGCTAACAAAACCCGCGATGCACAAACAAAAAACAGCGCCGAACAGCGCCGAGGAACTTGAAAAAATTGGAAATCCCACAATTCCTTTTTCTTTTTTTTCAAGTTTGGCCCCCGGTCTACTCTTGCACAACAGACCACAATTCAGACCCCCTTCACCTCAAAAAAAAAGAACCCGGGAATCCTTTGAGGGCCCCAAATCGTTGAATACCTAAAGGAAACTAATGATTTCTGCGTTTCCGCATTCCCCCTTCTATACGATTCCAAGGCTTGCGCAGGGCCTCCAACGGAGTCCCTGGACGCAAGAAGCGACCAAAATGAGATTGCATGAGTTAGCTTATCAAGCCTAGCTAGAACTTAAGCGCGCGCGAAGCGCGCGGTGGTTCTAGTGTGTGCATATATACACGCATACATACTACGTATGTACATTCATGCATGCATGCATGCATGCATGCATACCTACATCTACATACAAATATGAAAAGAAAGCATGCGTTTTTAACACAAAGCAGACGATGGATCGACTCTCTTGATTCATTTCAGCATTTACTGACTACGTTTTATGTGTTCGTCCAAATCCGCCTGTAGGAGGACACGCCCGACCTAACGTTAGGGGGCACGGGCTCAGGGGTGCACGCATCGATCTCCAATCGCCCACTGCTCGCCGAGGCCACATCCCGCCTAGGAACGTACGGTTTTTTGCCATCGGAGGCGCATCGCCCGCGCATCTGTTGATGCATCGCCGGTTCCAGGTCGATGTCCCCCCCCCCCTGGGCCAGTACCCTTAAGTCGGGCATGTCCCTCTACAGGGGGAAAATAGGAAAATGGTCTGGACGATGTTTCTAGTATTTTTGAGCATGTTTTCAATATTTCTTGCTCTTTTTTATTTTTCGTCCAAAATCCGCCTCAAAATCCACCTGTAGGAGGACACGCCCGACCTAACAGTACCCCCGATCCGTCCCCCATCAACCTCGCTCCTTCATGCTGCTCCCTCGGACAGTTGAACGTCTGTCGTTGCCAGACAAGTTGCGTGATCCGCGTGTTCTCCTGAGACCCGTGTGGTCGTCGGGCGGCATGGGGCATCTTGTCGGGGCTGTTCGGGGCCAGTTGTTGAAGCTTTTTTGGAACTGGTTTGGGCCGAAAGAATTGGAGCGCCAATATTCAAACATGTGCTGAATTGGCGTTGCTAGAGGGGTCTCTTCAGGGCTTCTTGGAGCTACCTTGACGCCTCAGGAATTATTGGCAGTCCCAGGGCCGTCGTGGGGCGATCGTTGGCAGTGTTAGGGCACTGTTGGGTTTTCTTTGGGGTTTCTTGGTTGGGGGGTGTTGGAACGTTCTTTCTCCCGCTGCCTCGGGGTCCACAGAACCATGTTCCAAAAGATTTATCACGTGGTTCAATTGTTTTTGGCGTCTTGGCATCCGCTGGGGTCCCTTGGCCCGTTTGGAATAGTCTCGGCACTGGCTTAGGGGTTCTTCGTGGATCGTCACGGCGGCCTCGGGCTAGTCTTGCCGCCGTAAAACTTGGCATCGCTCGGACGTGTGCGTGTTTCCTTGGCGAGGACCATCGAGGAGCAGCCGTGATCATCGTGCAAGAAATACACGCACGAAACCGACAAATGCACCAGGAGTGGACGTCCGAGCGATGGCAAGAAGAGCGCCCAGCAACGAACCCGGGCCCACCTAATGGGTCTCTGTTCGACTCCAGTTCCACTCTAGTACGACTCAATTTCGATTCAAGTCGACGGACGTTCGGCGCAGCATCAACGCATTCGTGGAGCGAGTGGCTCCAGGGAGATCCCTAGAACGAGCAACTGACCACTGTGCATGCCTGCGCCTGTCCTCTTGGGATGAGGCAGGCGGGTCATGAGGGAAGAGCGGGTCCAAGACCCCGGAGTTTCTCTGCGGGGCCAGCGATTGATCCTGACGGTTCCTGGGCCGGGGGAGGGCCCCGAGGCCACGAAACAGCGAAAAAGACCAGGACCCATTTCTTTCAGGATGGACCGCTTCGTGGCGGTAATGGTGTGTGTCGGCTGAGTTGGCGCAGAACGGCAGAAGATGATGTGTTCCGCCGTCGGGGACGCTTGTCCCAGGGCGGTTGGAAAGTCGACCCCCCATCATGCCATCGTACGGCCGCCCTGGGGCAGGCCTCCCCAGTGGCAGAAGAGCTCATGTCGTGCCGCTTTCCGCCCGAGAACTGCCTCTGACCCCTTGCGCTTGCCTGTGCGTGTGCCCGTCTCTGCCTCTGTCGGTGCTGCGGTGTCCGTCTTTGCCCGTCTCGGCCTCAGTCTGTCTCTGTGCGCCTCCTGTCGCGGAGGAGGAGGAAGAAGAGGAGGAAGAGGAGGAGGAGAAGGAGGGCGAGGAGGAGCAGCAGGGGGAGGAGTAGGGGGAGGGGAAGGGAGAGGAGGAGGAGCAGGAGGAGAAGTAGGAGGAGGGGAGAGGAGGAGGATGGAGGAGGAGGAGGAGGAGGAGGAGGGGAGGAGGAGGAGGAGAGGATGATGTAGGTTGATGATGGGGGAGGAGGGGGCGCAGGACCCCCCCCCCTGCCCGCGGGCAGGCCCCGCGGCAGCCGATGGGCGAGATCCAGGTGGGGCAGACGGCGGCGCTGGGCACGCCCAAGCAGCCCGAGGACCAGCCAGGGGCTGACTTTTCGGGGGCGGCCAAAGAGGGGGGTCATGACTAGGGGGGGGATATCATGGCGGGGGCTATGATACTTCCTCAGATTGGAGAGGCCTGACGGCCGGTGCCGCCGACCCTGATCGAAAGGGCTAGGAGTGGGGGGAGGAAGCGGAGGATGAGGAGAAGGAGGAGGAGGAGGAGCAGCCTGACGACAAGCCAGGGGCTGACTTTTCGGGGGCGGCAAAGAGGGGGGTCATGACCAGGGGGGGGGGGATCTCATGGCGGGGGCCATGATACTCCCCCAGATTTCAGGGCGCCTCGTCTTGTTCCATGACGTCCCTGGCCCCCCCGCTGGGCCGCGCACATGCCGCCGGCCATGATCTGATCTGCACCCCCCCCTCTTGGACATCCCCCCTCTTGGCCGCTCCCGAACTTTCTGGGAGGTCCGGGGCGGGCCTCTACAGTGAAGACGCTGAGACAAGCATCGCACGTATGGCAGCAGGACGGCCGCACTCCCGGCCGCCTCGCTCGGAGATGGCCGAGCGGGATGAGGCGGGGTGGCCCTCCGGCGCGGTGGCTCGGAGGGCAGAGCGCACGCGGCGCGGTCGACGACGACGACGACGACGACGACGACGACGACGACGACGACGACGGTGACGGCGACGGCGGTGGCGGTGGCGGCGGCGGTGGCGGCGGCGATGGCGGCGGCGCGGCGACAGCGACGGCGACGGCGACGGCACGAGGGCTGAGAACGGCATTAGCTTCGGAGGGATGCCCTCGTGCTTTTCGTCCCCTGGGTCTCCACCTTGGGATGGTCCTCGCTAGGGGTATCTCCACGAGCCCTCGGTCCCTTGGTCCGCTCCATCCTTGCTTCGTCCGTCAGGTCTCGCTCGCTTCCTACCGTCCCTCGGCCCCTCTTGATCCACATTCTTGTGGCCATGCTTCGCCGCGTTTCGCCTTATTCTCCCTCCCCCGTTCCTCTCCGCAACCGTTTGTGCTCAAGTCTTCCTTGGCCCCTAGGGAGGAGGAGGAGGAGGAGGAGGAAGAGGAGGAGGAGCGAGGAGCGAGGAGAAGGAGGAGGCGGAAGAGGACGCGGAGGAGGAGGAGGAGGAGGAGGAGGAAGACAGGAACGGGGGACCGCCGTCGTGGGCCCCCCGAGAGGCCTCCGCCTTTCAGGGCGGGCGTGGCCATAGCGCGGGCCCCCGCGCCTGGCTCGGCCGTGGCCCGCCAGGCCGAGGTGGACGAGGCCGCGAGGGCCTTCCACGACCTCCTCCTCCTCCCCCCTCCCCCTCCTCCTCCTCCTCCTCCTCCTCCTCCTCCTCCCCTCCCCCTTCTCCTCCCCTCCTCACCTCCTCCTCCTCCTCCCTCCTCCCCTCCTCCTCCTCCTCTCCCCTCCCTCCTCCTACTCCTCTCCTCCCTCCCTACCCTCCTCCCCCTCCTCCCCTCCTCCCTCCTACCTCCTCCCTCCTCCCTCCTCCCTCCTCCTCCCTCCTCCCTCCTCCCTCCTCCTCCTCCTCCTCCTCCTCCTCCTCCTCCTACCCTCCTCCTCCTCCTCTCCCTCCTCCTCCCTCCCTCCTCCCTCCTCCTCCGCCTCCTCTCCTCCTCCTCCTCCTCCTCCTCCTCCTCCTCCCCTCCTCCTCCTCCTCCTCTCCTCCTCCTCCTCCTCCTCCTCCTCCTCCTCCTCCTCCTCCTCCTCCTCCTCCTCCTCTGCCCCTTCCCTCGCCGCTCCCTCCGGGCACGAAGGGCGAAGAAATCTGCCTCCAGACCTGACCGTGCGCGCCCTCCGGCCAGGGCGTCCACAGGACCCAACCGGGAGGACCAGAAGGCCCCCAGAGGCCCAGGACCTCCTCCAGAAGCACGCGAGCCGCGGCCCAGACAAGGCGAGCGAGCTGGCGAAGCGAGGAGACAGAGCACTGGCGGCGCCAGGCTCTCCACGGTGCACGCCAGGATAGGCGCGGCGATCACCCGAGGGGTGCATCTTCGACGAGAGCCTCGAGCACCTCGCGGGCGGGGCCCTGCTGAAGTACGCTCAAGTCGGGCACGTCCCTCTACAGGAGGAACGTTCACAAATTGCCAAACAAACCAAAAAAAAAAAAAAAAGTCTGGCGACGATTTCGTTTACTATGTTTGCCCATTTGGGGGTATTTACTGAGCAGTTTTTCGCGTTCGCCCAAACCCCGCCTGCAGGGGGACAGGCCCGACCTGCGCGGCCAAGGCGGGCACACGCGCCGGGTGCCGGGCCCAGCCGCGAGGCCCCGCCGCGCCCGAGCGCCGGGGACCGCCCGGACGTGGTCACGGGAGCGCTCCGCAAGGGCGCCTCCAGCAGAAGACCAAGCAAGCTTGGGTGGTGGGGCAGGGCCGCGAGGAGCAGCAGGGGAAGGAGGGTGCTCTCTAATTTTTTGTCCTTTGTCTAGGCTTGCGCACCGCGGGAGCCTGGGTTTCCTCCGATGGCCCAGATTGCCCAGAGGGGCGGGGCCCTGCCGTGCACCAGCGCCCACGCGCACCTGCCCAGCAAGGCAGCGAGCACGCCCATGGCGAGGACGCTTCAACACCATGAGCGAGAAGGCCAGGCCGGCACGGGACGCCTGCTCGGGCTTCAACGACGCCACGGCGAGGATCGCCGAGCGCGTCCCACCACTCGCAAAGCGCCTACTCGCAGACGTCCTAAAAACCATGCGTCTGCCTTTGCGTTACATGTCGTGAATCCCCTGCAGGGGATAAAGGCCATTTGCGAGCAGCTGCTTCGCGAGTAGTGGAACGCGCTTGTCTGAAGGAGGAGGAGGCTCGCGGCGGCCGTCCGAGGGCAGAGGGAGGAGAGCCTGCAGACCGCTTCATTGTTTCCGCTGAAGGGAGCGGCGCAGAGCACGAGGAGCTGCCTGGGCAGGGCAGGACGAAGGGCGGCGCCGTCGACGAGCCCGGAAGGGGGGCCGGCGCTCGACCTTCAGACGCCGAGGTGCGGAGGACCCAACGGCCCTAGGCCACGCGGGCACTGGCAAGAGAGAGAGGGGGGCGCCAAGGAGATAGCGCACGGCGTGGATGGCCCTGCCCTTGGGCCATGGGCGAGCGCCGCGAGCGCGCAGCCAAGCGAGCGGGCCCCGGCGATGGACGGCAGAGACCCGTGCCCGCAGTGAGACAGTGGGGGGCCGAGGAGATTTGGCAGCGGATGGGTGGGTCGGCCGTTGTGATGAGGAGAGCCTCAGTGATGGCGCGGGCGAGCAGGCATTGGCAGGACGGGCGCCGCTCGGGGGCTAGCCAGCACCATGGTCGACGAGGCTTCAACGAGGCTGGAGGGCGGCGCGGCAGCGGGAACCCCCAAAGCGGGAGTGCGCAGCATAGACAGGGAGGTGACGGCGCGGGCCGCGGCCCAGGTCCCAGCGCAGAAGGCATTCGGGCGCGACCGAGAAGGAGGCAGGTTGTAGAGAGGGAAAGGAGGAGGAGGAGGAGGAGGAGGAGGAGGAGGAGGAGGAGGAGGAGGAGGAGGAGGAGGAGGAGGAAGGGAGGAGGGGGAGGGGGAGGGGAGGGGGAGGGGAGGGGGAGGGAGGGGGAGGGGAGGGGGAGGGGGAGGGGGAGGGGGAGGGGGAGGGGGAGGGGGAGGGGGAGGGGGGGGGGGGGGGGGGGGGGAGGGGGAAAGAGGAGGAGGAGGAGGAGCATGATGCGACCAGCTGATCGACGCGAGAGAGGATGTGGCTGACTGGCCGTGGCAGGCCAGCGCGGAGAATAAAATGGCCAAGCCGCGGCGGCGGCCATGACGGTGGGCGGGGGGGGGGGCCCACCGCACAGCAGCATGGGGGAGTCTCGAGGTAGAGGAAGCTGCGGCGGCAGCCTTGACGGAACGCGGCGCCCGCCCCCAAAGCCGCGGCGGCGGCGGCATTGACGGGATGCTGCGGGGCAGTTGCCCCTTTCGGAGGAGAGGGGGCGCCGGGCCGCGGCGGCGGCCGCGACGGGGGGGAGCAGCAAAGCATTCCGAGGAGACCGCGGAAGTGCCGCCAGAGCGGCGCTGCAGTTGGAGCGGGTAAGGGCCGCAGATCCCGCGGCGGCGGCGAGAGGCACCGCTTTGGCGCCAGCGGGGCCGCTGGCGAGGCTGGGCGCGGCGCGCCGAAGCCCAGCCGCACGCGGCGACCCGTTGGAGCGCGAGGGCGCGCGAGCTGCCGCGCGCGCCCCCAGGAGAGGCACGCCGCCGCGCCAGGGCGCCGCGGCTGGGGCTCCGCGCCAGACATTGGCGCTCGAGGCGCACGATGCTGGGAAAAAGATGTGGGCCACCCCATCCTCCTGCGCCCCGCCCGCCCCCCCTGGGGCGCGCAGGCCCTTGGGGAGAACGTAATCGTTAAATATAAATTGTAACGGTGGGTTTGGGCCCATGGGCCCGGGCCGCGTTTCGCCCTCTTGTCTCTTCCCCGCTCCTCTCCGCAACTCTGTGTGCTCAAGTCTTTCCCGGCCCCCGGCGGGGCCGCCGCCGCGGGCCCCTCGAGGGGCCTCCGCCTCTCAGGGTCTCGCCCGCACAGTCCTGGAAGCACTCGCCGCAGGCGGGGCAGGGCCGCGCTGCGGCGCGCCTTCCTGCAGCTGGGGGGGGGGGGGGGGGCACGCCGCCGCGGCAGGCGCTGCGGCCGAGCCCTGCGCCAGACACTGGCGCTCGAGGCGCACGATGCCGAGAAAAAGATGTGAGCCACTCTCCTCCTCCTCCTCCTCCTCCTCCTCCTCCTCCTCCTCTCCTCCTCCTCCCTCCTCCTCCCCTCCTCTCCTCCTCCCCCTCCTCTCCTCCTCCCCCTCCCCCTCCTCCTCCCCCCCCTGCCTGCGCGAGCGGCCTTCGCGAGCACGAGTGCCCCGTGTCCCAGGGCCCCTGCAAAGGTGGCCCGCCAGAGATCTGGACCACTTCCCCAGGACCAGATGTTCTTGCCCCGATTCGTTTTTTGATGGCCCCGCGGCGCTGGCTTCCGGAGGCTGGAAATTGCCGACGCCCTGGGCGTCGCGCGTGCGCGTGCATGGGGGGGGGGACGATAAATAGCGGGGGCCAGCGAGAACCGCAGAGAAGGAGCCCGCTGGGGCCCCTGCGTGGCACTTCAGGGCCCACAAGGTGGCCTCGAGGGCCCGAAAAAAATGATTGATCCTCCTCCACATGCATCGCCCCCCCATTGATCGACGCCCAGAGACCCATCCGCCGCGATCTTCCAGCAACGAGAGGACGCGGGGGGTGGACTGGGGACGCCTCGGGCACCAACACCCGCACCTGAGCGGGCGGCGAAGGGCGCGAGAGAGGCTCATCGGACGACTGCCCCCCCCGGGACCGTTGCTCATCCCCCAGAGCTGTTGTTCACCCCGACCCGCTTGTGGGCCTCGCGTGGACCGTTGCTCATCCCCCGGAGCCGTTGTTCACCCCGACCCACTTGTGGGCCTCGCGTGACAGGAGGGCGCTAAATGTGGGGCGCTGGCAGGGGCTGCAGCGTCAGGGCTTCTGAGGGCCCCGAAGGTGCCCTTTAGGGCCCCTAAGGAGGCCTCGAGGGCCCGAAAACGGCGCCTTTCTTCCCCCCTCCACTGCTCGCCCCCGACGTCAGCGGCGCCCAAGAGGCCTTTGCTCGACGGCCTGGGGGCCTTGGGAGAGAGCCCAGGGAAGCCCCCCCTCAAAAAAAACAACAATTCCTGCGCAGCGCGAGGCTGTCAGGGGACATCTGCGCACGGGGGGGCTCGGGCGCGCGAGGCCGGCGGAGCCGCTCCGCCGGACTCCCTGGCCGTCGCCACGGCGTCCGGTGCGGGGGCGCGCGGCGCGCGCGCCGGCCTGGCCACGCCCAGGGCGGCCCTCCACGGGGGCACTCGGATCATCGCTGGGGTTGCCAAGGGGATGGGTCGGCGCCGACGGCAGGGGCGAGTAGCCCAGGAGCGGGCTTTGCACGCCTTCGCCCGCGAGCCTCCGTGTCCCTCCCCTGGGCTGTTCGCCCCCATCGTTTTCCCCGAGGGATGCTAAGGGGTTCGGGGGGGATGCCGCGGTGGACTACACTTGGCCGAACTTAGCTTACAGTGTTCTCTGCCAATCCCCATAAGCGGCTTATGGGGGGCGGAGGTTTGGACGAAGTGGGCGGCGCCCATCGCTCTGCTAATTTGCTTGAGTCACTAATGAGCACTAAAAACCATGTATAGGCTAGGGCAGGCTAGATACAACCCACATTAGCATCCACGTATAGCTCCCTCATCACTTTAGCAACTTTCGCGGTGATCCAAGCAGGGGCCCCTTTCCAGACAACGACTCCTCCTCCCTTGAGAGTCGGGCGATGCAGTTCTTTTACATTGGGCATTTTCGCACATTTTCGGGCCTTCAGGACCATCACAGATCTATCCAGCTCGGAAACATGGCGCACAAAGATGGGTCCTGGGGCTCGGGTCGTGATTTTTCGCGATTTTGCAATTTGTACGCAGCGTCGGATCTCAGGGGGCGCCTCCTCTCTCGGTCTGGACCCTTGTTGTTCTTGCTTCTGCGTGGCGCTGCACCGCTGGCTGGGCATGGCCAAGGCTGTTTCGCAGCCTTGCCACGATTGTGAGATGAGCCGGCATCCCAGCTGATAGGAAGGGCATCCCACGACGCAACAGCTGGCAATGGAGGAGGAGCGGAGGAGGACAGGGACGAGGACAAGGAGGAGGACAGGGACGAGGACAAGGAGGAGGACGGCAGAAAAGCAGCAAGGGAAAGCAGCGAGGACGTGGTGAAGCAGAGCCGGCCCGGGAAGTGGCGAAGCGGGCCTGAAGGCAACGGTGGCGCGTCTGAGCAACATGTTGCGTCCCCTAGCTACCTCGGAGATGTTGTGGGGACGAGCCATGGTTCCCCAGGTGCAGCATCAGCAGCCGCGGCAGGAGGTCGAGGAAGAGGGCCAGAAGCCAGGCGAAGGCTGGCAAAGCCGTGGCTGCTGAAACGGAGCTCCGGGCAGCAATTGGTTTCTCCTCCAGGGAGCAGCCCGTTTAGTCTTTCGCGCGCCGACCTTGATTCCGGGAATCTGTTTTTTTTTCTTCCGGGAAGAGCGTTTTAGCAGCCACGGATTTGCCAGCCTTCGCCCAGCGTCCGAGAGGAGGATTCCAGGAGGATGGAGGATGAGGCCCTGCTCGCGAGGACGGCCTGGACCGTGGCCGCGCAGCCGCCGCCGCCGCAGCCAGGCACGCCTGCCCCCGCGCGTGCCCGCTCGCTCTCTGGGCTCAGAGTCTGTGGGCGCGCGCGCGCGACGCGGCCAGCCAGGGGAGGAGGAGGAGGAGGAGGAGGAGGAGGAGGAGGAGGAGGAGGAGGAGGGAGGAGGAGGAGGAGGAGGAGGAGGGGGAGGGGGAGGGGGAGGGGGAGGAGGGAGGGGGAGGTGGAGGAGGAGGAGGAGGTTGAGAAGGCGGAGGAGGAGGAGGAGGAGGAGGAGGAGGAGGCGGAGGGGCACTTGGCGCCGCCAGCCCGAAAATCGAGCGCTGGCTACACGCGGGGCGCTCCAGACCTCCCCCCTCGAGGGGTCGAGGAGCTGCTGCCTCTCTCCCTGCCGGTGGAAGCACGGTCGGACCGAGGCGTATCGGATCGAGGTCGGTTCGGTTGAGGGTACCGTGGTGTTCTTCGTGCTTGTCGGATGTTCTTGTGCATCCCGGGGGAGGGCACCCTCGAATGTTCTTCAGCTTGGCCCGCGGAGGGCCTCATGTTCTTGAAGGATGGTCTGCCCCAGGTCGGGCCGTAGGTGCCGCCCTCCCACACCAGGAGACGTAGTTTTCTGGTGTTCAGGGCTTCTGGAACGGGCCGCTAACCTTAAGTCGGGCCTGCCCCTCCACAGGAGGAATATCCAGAAATAGTCAAAACATGGTCTGGGAGCGATGTTTTGATTATTTGTTGATTGGTTTGTTGTATGATTTGGCTACCTTAAATTTTGTTCGTCCAAAACCAATCCGCCTGTAGGGGGACATGCCCGACCTGAACGTAGCTTTCTGGTGCTCAGGGTTTCTGGAACGGGCCGCTAACCCCAGGTCTTCATCCTGGGGCCGCCCCTGCTCTCATTCTCCTCCCCCCTGCCCCGCCCTGGGTCGTCATCCCGGGGCCCGCTCACCCTGGGCCTGCACCCTGGAGCAGCGCGCCCAGGGCCTACCGTGGGGGCCCATGCCAAGAAACTCACGCGGTTCCAAATGGGACCCCAGGGAAGCGGACTTCTGAGACGGGCGATGTCAATTCCTCAAGTCCGCCCGGCTTCGCCCACAGGGTCGCCGCATGACGCTGTCACTCGCACTTCCCGAAGTTAGTCTGAGATGCAACGCCGCGGTCTTAGAAGTCCCTTTCGCTGGCGTCCCTTTCGGAAACGCATATCAGAAACACCCTGCTTGCATCCAGGGTGCCCTGGGTTTCTTGGGCTTCGATGGCTTTGCGATGGAAAGCGTGGCCACACACTTTAATGGCCCGCCCGCCCGACCCGACCCGCCCGTTAGGGTCCGCCCGCCCGAACCGACCCGACCCGCCCGCTAGGGTCCGCACGCCCGACCCGACCCGCCCGGGGTTCGCGCGTAATCGCTCGAGCGCGCCCCACACTTGAATGTCCCGCCCGCCCGCCCGACCCGACCCGCCCGTTAGGGTCCGCCCGTCCGAACCGACCGGCCCATTAGGGTCCGCCCGCCCGACCCGACCCGCCAGTTAGGGTTCGCATGTGCTCGCTCGAGCGCGCCCCGCACTTTAATGTCCCGCCCGCCCGACCCGTCCCGCCCGTTAAAGCCCGCCCGCCCGACCCGACCCGACCCGCCCGCTAAGGTCCGCCCGCCCGACCCGACCCGCCCGTTAGGGCTCGCGTCGGTGAAACCAGCGCCGGCGAAACAAACGCCGGCGAAACCAGCGCCTGCGAAACCAGCCGTCGGCGAAACCCGGAACCAGCCGTCGGCGAAACCAGCGCCGGCGAAACCAGCTCATGCCTCGTGGTCGAGCCATTACTGCAACCCCTGGCCGCCGCCCCCTGCCCCTCGCCCGAGCTCCGCATGACGTGGCCAGCGGCTGGGCGAGAGGTGGGCACGCGGCAGGTGGGCGCACGCTTTCCCGCGCGCGGTTTCTCTCTGGGGCAGGGCACGGCAGGCCCGCCGCCGCGCGGGTGCGGACGCGTGCGCTCGCAGGGCCCCCGCAGCTTGCACCGTGGAGGCCCGTGCCAAGAAACACCCTGCTTGCCTCCAGGTGCCCTGGGTTCCTTGGGTTTCGTTTGCTGCGGAGAGCGCGACGCTTCCACACCAAAACTCAGGATGGTCCAAGATGGTACAGACTCCGGTCTGTGAAATTAAACTCCCTCTGGCCTGCGAGCCGCAGCCCCTGACCCAGACCCAAAACTCAGTGGACGTCCCGGGGTTCCGGGGTCGGGTGTCTCGTGGAAGGTCTCTTGTGGTCGAGCGCCTACTGTAGGCGCAGTCAGAAGGAAGCGGCAGGAGCTGAAGTTTTGGAGGTCCGCGCGGATTTCTCGGATCGGCGTGTTGGGCTCTACCCCCTGGCGTGCGCCGCGCGCCCGGGGGCGGCGCCAGAGGCCGCTCCGGGGGGAACCTGGCGGACAGCCGAACATGTGTGTTCGTGGCGCTTTTATCCCATTCTCTGCAGTACAGTTCACCCGCATAGCAAGGATGAGCAACCTTCCCAAGGGTAACCATTGCGTCCCCGCCTCCTCGGCCCATCCTTGGCCACTTTCGTTGGCCGCGCCCCGCTCGGCAAGCTTCGACGTGGGCGTCCAAGGCCCTTGCATCCTCACCGTGCATCCTTGTGATACGGGCCGACTGTGGCTGCTGGGTAGCCGCCGAGGCCCCTACCAGGCGGGTCCCTCCGCGACCAGATTTGTGACAAGGTTTTCCCAGGCACGTCACTCTCAGGGTCGCGCAGATGATTCAGGAGGGGAAAAAACACAGAGACACAAGTCATCATCGACTCCCAGGAGAATATGGGAAAGGATTTGAAGCGGAGGGGAAGGCGAGGACCCAGAAAGCGTGGTAAGATATCCGGAATCCTGGGACGCGCGTCTGCTTCTTTGTGTGTGCCCCAGGGCCCCATTGAGAGTAATCGGGGCCCGCGGCCCGGGCCGCAGGGCCGTCGGCGCCCTGCTGCCGGGGCGCGCGAGGACAGAGCTGCGCGCCGCACGCCTCGCGGGGCGTGTCAGGCGGCACGCCGCCCAGGGGCACAGAATCTGCCGTCATCGAAATGTGCGGGCTGCCGGGAGGCCGCGATCGTTCAAGGCTCTCTTCATCCAGGCCTCCCAGATGAGGTCCGAGTGGGCGGGGCCGGAGCATCGCGCCGCAGCGCCGATGCATCGCCAGCGCGGCTCGAGGTGGAGCCCCATTCTCTCCGCGCCGATGGCGCCGTCGGCGTCGCCGGTGCATCGCCGACGCATCTCCGATGTGTCAGCGATGCGGCGCGACCCTCCGACCCCGTCTGCTCCGACCCCATTTAGGAGGCCCCCAGTCACAGCACGGCTCTGCCGTACGACCGCGCCTCACGCCTCGAGGCCATGCGCGACCCTCCGACCCCATCTGCTCCGACCCCACTTGGGAGGCCCCCGGTCACAGCACGGCTCTGCCGCACGACCGCGCCTCACGCCTCGAGGCCATGGTCCGCCGAGGTGCCCCTCCTGGGAGGGCGCTAACTTGAAGTCGGACATGTCCCTCCACAGGGGGAATATTCAAAATAGACAAAAAACATTATGGGGGCGATGTTTCTACTATTTTCGATTATGTGTGAAATATGTTTGGACTGTTATGTTATTTGATCGCTTCGCTCATTCCGCTGGCCCTAAAGCGCTATTTGGGGCCTCTTGGGACCGTCTTGGGGGCCTCTTGGGAGCTTCTTGGGAGCGTCTTGGGGCTCCTTGGCGACGTATTGGGCTCCCCTGGGGCCTCTTAGGGGGTTCTTGGGGGCCCCTTGGGGCGGGAGGGGGGGGGGTAGTCGATTGCAGCCACCCCCTCGGAGGCCACGATCCTCGTGAGGTGTGGCGAAAAATAGACCCCCCCCCCTGGGGATCGCCCGGAACCCAGCCGGGGATCGGCCGGGGTATTTTTCGTCTGGGTGCCCCCGGGGGCCGCCCCGCGCGCGCGAACTAGAAATATAGTTAAGTAGTTACCGGAGATCTTAGCACGCCTCTGGCCCGTTGGGCCGGCGAATTTTTCGTCGAAAATCAACCTGTAGGAGGACATGCCCGACCTAACGCTGACTGTACACCTCCACCGGTCCTGGCCACGCCCGTCCTCGGGCCAGGATCGGTGCGTACGCCCTCCTGGAGTGGGCAGGAAGGCATATACACTCACGAGCAGCGAACGTACCCATTAGGGACAGGGGGTCTTTCCTGCAGCTGCATGCACCAAACAGCTCAGAGCGATTACCCCAAATGCAGAGACGGGGACTTGAATCAGGCCACGTCTGCCCTGTATTCTTGAGCTTAGGGGCTCTCTTGTGTTTGATGGCCCCAGACCTCGAACCTCGACCCCCTGCACCGAACGCTGCCCCTGAAGCTGCCCCGTAACGGCTGGAAGCTTGCAAGGCGGACAAAGGAGCGGCGAAGAGGCCTGTATCGGCGCCCTCGCAGTCTGGATCCCGCGGCGCCATCGCGCGGATGCGCGGTCGCACGGATACGTTCCGCGCGAGGCATCCGCGAAGAGGCGCCCCGCATTCGCGGGGCCGCGGCCCGCGAGGCCGCGGATAAGTATACAGTCGGGGCCCTGAAGAAGGAGCCCTTTTGGTTGGGGAGGGGCTCCGCATTCCTTAAGTGTTTCACAGCTTGCCTCAGGCTTTCCTTATGTTCTCGATAGGAAATCGAAGGTCAACTTATGGAAAAAAGGGGCATCGTTCCTTATTTAGGGTTTCTTAGGTCAACGCCCCGACTGTACGTTCCGCGCGAGGCATCCGCGAAAAGGCGCCCCGCATTCGCGGGGTCGCGGCCCGCGAGGCCGCGGAGAAGTTAATACGTCTCTCGCCCAGGATGCGCGCCGATCTCTTGGGCGCAGGATCGGCCTTGGCCAGGAGCGGTGCTGTGTGCACAGCCGATGCCCCAGCGCGCGCGGCTGCGCGAGGACCTCCCGAGAAGGCCGCGCACCTACAGTCGGGGCCCTGAAGAAGGAACCCTTTTTGTTGGAGAGGGGCTCCGTGTTCCTTAGTTGCTTTACAGTGCTCCTTGGGTTTTCCTGAGGTGGAAAATCGGAGTTTACTATATGGGAAAAAGAGGCCTCGTTCCTTATTTATCGTTCCTTAGGTCAACGCCCCGACTGTAGGGCACCCAGCACCCTGCCACGAGTCGAAGGAGAAGATTAAGGGGCAACGTTTGGGTTGTGCCAGCCTGGTTGAGGCCTGATCACCCGAACGAACTTCGAGCACACAGAGAGTGACGAAACTGCAGGAGGGTTGTCCCGTGTCGGGCCCTGTGAGGCGATGCTCGTTCGACACTGCGCCAGCGTGTCGGTCATGCACTGCTTCGATACTTCTCTGGGTGCTCGGAGCTCGTTCTGGAACGTGGTCCTGGTCCCAAACCAAAGCACGAATCGGAACAGCACAAGACAACGCCAGGTCAGTGGAGCGCGAAGCTGGGCGACCCGGGTGCACGTGCGCAGATGCCGGAGGAGGGCCGGCTGAGGCAACGCCAGCGGCTGCATCGAGGTGTTCGGGGGGTGTTCGTTGGTCCTCGGCGGCTTGCCGGCCTCGGGGTGCTCTCCGGCAGCCGCGCCTCGCCGCGGCGGCGTTTGGATCGCCCCAGAGCGGCCGCCAGAGCCCCGAGCTATGGCCCAAAAGCCGGACGACGAGGATCACCCGGGTTGGACGAGAGTGTGGGGGCATCGGGGTACTGGTCGGGGGATGGGCTCGCGTGGAGCCGCATCGACCCCCAATCGCACCTGCATCGCCGATGGGGGCCTGCTGGCCCGCCCAGCACAGGAGCGCGCGGGCTCGCCGTCGGAGGCCCATCGCCGAGGTGTGGTCGGTGTCTCGCCGATGCCAGGTGGACGCTTCCCCCTGAGCCAGTCCCCCGGCATCACATCCCCCTTCGTCAGAGACGGCATCAGCTCGAAGTTCTGGAGGCGCGCTCCGCGAGCCAGGGATGATGATCCTGTTTTCCACCACCACCACCACCATAAGTCGGATGGGGGGACGGAGGTGGAGGATGAGGAGGAGGAGGAAAAAGAGGAGGAGGAGGAGGAGGAGGACCCCCTCCCCCTCCTACTTATGGTGGTGGCGGTGGAAAACAAGCCCACCAAGGGAGGGAAGGGTCCCGCGCCGCCCCTAGAGCTTGAGTCCTCCGCGCGGGCCCCTGCAGCATTCCACCTACGGCGCGACCTCTTCCACCGCACCAGGGCCGTCGAGGCAGCTGGGGACCGGGCCGAGCCGAGGCAGTCTGGCGGCAGCGCCGGGGCCGTCGAGACAAGCGGGGACCGGGCCGAGCCATGGAGAAGCTGGAGGCAGCGGAGGGCAGCGCTGGGCCGTGGAGAGGCTCCCCGACGGGCACGATCCCGACGCAGGCCCGGAGCATCACGGGGCGGCACCGGCCGAGAGGGCAGCTTGTGGGACTTGGTGGCAGAGTCGACGCCTCAGGCTCTCGGCCAGACTCCGCTCCCGCTGTCGGCCGCCATACAGTCAACCCGCACAGTGGTACGGATGGGCCACCCCCCCGAGGGTGCCCTTGCATCCTTGCCTCCTCGGCCCATCCTTGGCCACTTGCGTCGGCCGCGCCCCGCTCGAGAAGCTTCGAAACGGGCGGCAAAGGGTCTTGCATTGTCATCGTGCGTCCTTCTGATGCGGGCCGACAGTAGGTCTCAACACCCTTCGAGTCCTGTCCGTAGCCTTATAGGCTCCGGGCCCGAGGAGGCAGGGCGGGGCCTCCTATAGGCGGGCGCTGTGCAAGGCGTCCGCGCACCGGCCGGGCGCATGGCAGCGCAGAGGTGTGGTGCCTCGCTTGTTTGAGCGGTGGGCGCTCGAGGGGCTGCGGGATGGGCAGCTTGGATCTCAAGGAAGACCCCATCGTCTTGCTGAGGCACTTCAACGTGGCGGGCAAGAAGGTCAAGTTCCAGGATGACTACCTCCTCTTCGACGGCCAGAAGGTCCACCGCGGCTCCAAGTGCGGCTACCGGATCGCGGATGGCATGCCGAAGATGGACGTCGGATCCGTGTGGTACATGCTCCGAGAGATCTCCGGCGACAGGCCATACACCCTGGAGACCACACGGAAGCGTGGCTTCCAGTACATCGGCGTGGCGAACCGCGGGGACCTCTGCGACTACCTGGTCGGCCGGGAGAGCACGTGCAAGGGCCTCTGCGTGGCCAGGAAGCGCGAGCGCGACGGGGACGGGCCCGAGCCTACGGACGAGGCCCCGGCCACGCTCGAGCCGGCCGTGCCGACCGACCCCAAGGCGGAGGCGGCGCTGAAGGCCAGGCAGAAGCCGCTCAAGTCGGCGAGGACGGACGAGAGAAGAAGGCCCGGGGAGATCTCCTACGCCGACGTGGAGGCGCGAGTGCGGCCCGTCAAGGATCTGGACGTGCTGGTCCGCGTCCCGGGCAAGATCGTGCCGAACGCGGACCTGATCCTGAGGATCGCGCAGGAGGAGGTGAGCAACTGGCACAACAGGACCGAGCGCAAACCGGAGGCCGAGGCGGTGCCTCCCACGATGCTCTCCGAGCTGGAGAAGATGCTGCGCCAGGAGAAGAAGAACAACCCGATCATCCTGGTGCCCTGCAACAAGAACGCGCCGGTGAACCTCCTGACCGCGCAGAAGCTGCTGCAGGCCGGCGAGTACGAGAGCGTAAAGAGGGACAAGGTCCAGTACTTCGAGAGCCTTCGGTCCGAGTCCGTGGACATCTTGCGGAACGTGCAGGGCCGCATGTGGACGTTCGAGGTCCGTGACAGCACGAAGGGGTTCACCAAGGGCCACTGGCTGCGCGTGGCTGCGGTGATCAGCGACGGCTCCGACTGGCAGTTCAAGGGCTGGCCGTTCGAGAGCATCGTCGACCTCTTCAACACCGTCCGGGGCTTCTACTTCTGCCCGAGGGGCGAGCTCCCCGACCAGCACATCCTGGACTGGAACGTCCACGTCCTGAAGATGCCCCCGAAAGAGTTTCAGCACCAGTTTGCCCAGCTTCGGGACATCTTCTGGAGCGAGGTCGAGGGGTTCTTGAGGTCTCAGCGGCAGAAGAAGTTCTCGAACAGCACCACTCTTGACACGGATCGCAAGGTCAAGAAGACACCCCCTATTTTATAATGCGCAGGCAATTTCGGAGCGCGCCGCTTCGAGGGATCCTTATGACACCAATACTGACTCTGCGCCGACGCGCACCCAAAAAAAAGTCTGCCCCTGGCGAGGCCCAGCGCGGGAGGCTCCGACGCTCTGCGTCCCGGCGATACCTCCGAGGGCCTTGCCCCACGGAGGCCGAAATCCGAGCAGATGTCGGAGGACGCGTCATGGGGGGGCGATCGAGTGAGGGGGGGGGCGTGAGGGCCGCCGAAGAGGGGCCCTTTGGGGCCCCCCGAGGTGGGGGAACGAAGGGTGCCCACACCGCTACTCCCCAGACCCTCTCCCGGGGCTCGCACCAGGACTTCGGTTCGAATATCCAGCGGCGGCGAAGGGGGCCGCGCGGGAGGCCCGCAGAGGAGAGAACGAGGGAAGGGCAGCGGTACGGTGACCTTCTCCTCGTCTGATGAAGAGCGGCCCTCTCGGGCCCCAAAGTGGGCCCCTACAGGGCCCGAAACAGGGCACCTCGGGGGTGGACAGACCCCCCAACACACGTCGATTAGAGAATTGTCCGTTTTCGGTTGTCGAGAGGGCGCCGTGGCCGTTATTTTCCAGGCTTGCGCCCGCCAGGTTTGGGCCCGACGTCGTTTTCATTAAACCACGTTTTACTAAAGCCCGAGCACCGCTCCTCAGTGCTGGGCCCTCGTCCTGGCTTCGTCTCATGCCCGGCGGGCAGGCCCGCAAGCGGGCCGCGGGCCGGTCGCAGAAGGACCCGAGCGGGCCGGGGAAGCGCCGGCCGGACAGCCAGGAGCGGGCCTGCGGGGGGGGGAGGGTGGGGCGCCCTGGGGGGTCGAGGGCCAGAGGCAGCGGCCAGGCTGAAGTCTCGAGCGATCGCAAGCATGGATCAAGGGGGCACGACGGTCAATAAGCTTCTGGCAGCGGCGAGCCGCGCAGTCTGATCGCAGGCCTCCGTCTGCGATGGCCTCCATAGAGCCTGCGCCTCACAGAACCTGGTCAGCATATTTCAAGTATCTCCTATCCTCCCGTCCCACCCTTTTCCCCCCGCCTCGGAAGAAGCCATGCGTCAGGCGATCGCAAGCATGGATCAAGGGGGCGTGGATTAGCGACGGGTCCCGTTTCCATGGGAAGTCGCGGATTTCGGCCGCCGAACGAGGCGGCACCGGCCGCATTTTGGGGAGGGCACCTCCCCCAATCCATGGATTTGGCGACCGCGCGCCAAGTCCATGGATCGCGAATCCATGTCGGCGCGCCCCCGAAAGTCGGGCACGCTTCTCGACAGGGGGGATAGATTCAGAGATAGTCAGAAAATAGTATGGGGGCGATGTTTCGATGATTGCTGACAAACTTTGAAGATGTTTGATTGTTTTCTATTTGTCGCCCAAACCCCGCCTCTAGGAAGACATTCCCGACCTGCGGCCCGGGTGGGCAGAGAACAGCAGGCCCCCCCGGGAACAGGAAAAAATGCTCCAGGATTCGGATGTTCCAAGCTGCGTTAGCCATGATCACCAGGATCGGGGGTGGACAGAACCCCCAACAGTGACACGTCGATTAGTGAATTGTCCGTTTTCGGTTTTCGTGAGGGCGCCGTGGCCGTTATTTTCCAGGCTTGCGCCCGCCAGGTTTGGGCCCGAAGTCGTTTTCACTAAACCACGTTTTACTAAAGGGAGGTTTGTCCATCCCCGACAGGAAGAAGTTCGAGCACCGAGAGAGTATGGAAACTGGACGGTTGTCACGCGTCGGACCCTGGGAGGCGATGTTTATTCGGCACTTCGCCAGCGCCGGCGTGTCGTGCCGACACTGTTTCGATATGTTTCGGGGTGCTCGAACGTATGTTTTGGATGTGGTCCGGTAAAAACAATAATAATAATAATACTCCCAATAATAATAATAACAACAACAACAATAATAATAATTTCAAGACTGTTCGCTCTTACTGGCACGCGTGTCTTGCATTCCGTATACCCCAACCCTCGATACCCGCCCACTTCGTCTTCGATTGCACCCACTTCTGGGGGGGATCTCTTCCGTGTCGGCCACTGACTGAAGTGCGAAAAAGTCTCGAGCGAGAGCGCCGTTCCTGAGTTCGGGGGCCTCTCTGGCCAGGAGCTCTCGGAATACCTTGGAGAAAATATCGAACGGGAGCCCTTGTCGCCGTGTCTGGGCCTCCACCAACTTGCCTGAATTACGGGAAAGTCTCGAGCGACAGCGCCGTTCTTGAGTTCGGGGGCCTTCTTGGCCAGGGGCTCTCGGAGTAAATCGTGAGGAAGTATCGAGCAGGAGCCCTCGTCGTTGTGGCTGGGCCTCCGCCAACTTAATTGAAGTGCAAGGAAGTCTGGAGCGAGAGCGCCGTTCCTGAGTTTGGGGGCCTCTGGCCAGGGTGTCTCGGGGTAAATTGTGAGGAAGTATCGAGCGGGAGCCGTTGTTGTCGTAGCTGGGCCTCCAAGGGCGCACATTTAGGGTCAAGCCAACGCTCGAGCGGGAGCCTCGCTTTCAGAGAAAATGTAGCCAGCGTCGAGGCGAGAGCGCGCGGAACCGCTCCTGGAGATCAGCAAGAATTATTCTTTAGAAATGAGTCTTCAACAACAACAACAACAACAACAACAACAACAACAACAACAACAACAACAACAAACACAACAACAACAACAACAACAACAACAATCATTTTACCCGAACGCTCAGTGTTCTCACCAGTGCCAGGGTTTTCATGCGACGCGAGACAATACCCCCACTTCGTGGGGGGGCAGTTCAAGCTCTACCAAATATCCAAACGACTCTTCGCGACCACCCAAACCCAGCTTCCCGCCCTATGACGTTGGGACACTTCACTTCGTGGCGTGCGGACGACCGTGGCTACTACACTGGCGTGGGGTACACACCCACAGAACTTGGTCACTTATTCGGGGCGCGCGTGTGCCCAGCATCCTGCAATTGTGACATACAATACATGACACAGACAGACAGAGAGAGAGACAGAGAGCAGACAGAGAGAGAGACAGAGAGAGCGGAGTTGGTCACATTTTTGGGGCAAGTTCCTGAGATCGTCGTGTTTTTTGTTGGTCTTGCGCGCGCGAATGTCCACTTTACTTTTTTTTTGCAAGGGAGTATTGAAATTTGATTATGTTAGAACAAGAAAAAGTAGCTCGCGCGAGCTCATGTAACATAAATGTTGAAAAACCATTGGTTTTGTGGGAGTCGGACAGCGCGCGCGGGATGAAATTTGGACATTTTTTTTTGAAAAACCATTGGGTTTTTGATGTTTTTATGTTGAAATCGTTACGAAACCTAAGGTTCTGGAAGGATTTCGTCTTGCGCGCGCGAATGTCCACTTTACCTTATTTTTTGCAAGGGATTATTGAAATTTGATTATGTTAGAACAAGAAAAAGTAGCTCGCGCGAGCTCATGTAACATAAATGTTGAAAAACCATTGGTTTTGTGGGATTCGGACAGCGCGCGCGGAAGGACATTTTGACAATTTTTTCTTAAAAAACCATTGGGTTTTTGATGTTTTTATGTTAAAATCGTTACGAAACCTAAGGTTTTGGAAGGATTTCGTCTTGCGCGCACGAATGTCCACTTTACCTTATTTTTTGCAAGGGATTCTTGCAATTTGATCAAAGAAGAACAAGAATTTTCATTTTCTATTGTTTTTTGCAAGAGAAAACGAGCGTCAACAAAAAACCGGATCCGGACATAATCCACTTTTCTGAAGCTTTCGCGAAAAAATGATGAAAATGTAGCTGCGGCCTAGGCGCGGCGCAGAGGTCGCGCACCAGGGGTCCCAACAATAATAATTCTTTAGAAGGAATAATATTCAACAACAACAAGAACAAGAACAACAACAAACACAACCACAACCACAACCACAACCACAACAACAACAACCACAACAAGAACAATAACAACAGCAACAAGAACAATAACAAGAACAGCAATAACAATAACAGCAGCAACAACAACAACAACAACAACAACCACAACCACAACCACAACCACAACCACAACAAACACAACCACAACCACAACAACAACAAACACAACCACAACCACAACCACAACCACAACAACCACAACCACAACCACAACCACAACAACAACAACAAGAACAATAACAACAACAACAACAACAAACACAACAACAACAACAAGAACAAGAACAACAACAACAACAAACACAACAACAACGACAACAACAACAACGACAACCACAACAAGAACAAGAACAAGAACAACAACAACAAGAACAAGAACAAGAACAGCAATAACAATAACAACAACAACAACCACAACCACAACCACAACCACAACCACAACAAACACAACCACAACCACAACCACAACAACAACAACAACAAACACAACCACAACCACAACCACAACCACAACCACAACCACAACAACAACAACAACGACAACCACAACCACAACAAGAACAAGAACAACAACAACAACAACAACAACAAGAACAATAACAACAACAACAACAAGAACAACAAGAACAACAAGAACCAGAACAAGAACAACAACATCAACAACAACAACAACAACAACAACAACAGCAACACAAAAAGGCTGCCGAGCGGAGCCGGCAACAAAAAAAGGCCCCGTCGTTGCCGGGGCTTACGAACGAGAAGAGAGGCCAGCGAGAGGCCTCCCGCCCGAGGGGGCGCCGCGGGTCGAGGGGACGGTCGAGGGCCTCTCGGGCCTCCGACGGTGTGGTTGGTTTCCAGTCCGCGGCGGCGAGCGAGGGGGAGGAGGAGGAGGAGGAGGGGGAGGAGGAGGAGGAGGAGGAGGAGGGGGAGGAGGAGGGGAGGAGGAGGAGGAGGAGGGAGGAGGAGGAAGGAGGAGGAGGAGAGGAGGAGGAGGAGAGAGGAGGAGGAGGAGGGAGGAGGGAGTTCGAGGGGGGTCGAGGGTCTCGGGCCTCCGACGGTAGGGTTGGTTTCCAATCCGCGGCGGCGAGCGAGGGGGGGGGGGACAGTGCGCGTGCGCGTCCCGCTCAGCTTTCAGCGGAAGAGGTTCGCTCTCGCCCCGCAGGCTTAAAAAAAGTGCCCCATCCTCGGCGGCGAGCGGGGGGGGGGGGAAGTGAGGAGGAGGAGGCTATCTTTACGTCGGGTCTCTGTCTCTCTACTCGGGGGTCCCCGAAAGGGGTGGTGACCGCACCGTGCGGGGAGTCGG